GAAGAAATAAAAATTGTTATATGCAGATAATATATGATCATGTACATATAAAATCCAAGTAAGTTTGTGAAATTTTTATATTACTTTATGACTTTAGAAAGTTCACTGGAAACAACATTAGTGAAAAAAATTTGTTGCACTTTTATTCATAGAAAAATAACAGAGAAATAAATTATAAAAAGAAGACCACTTAAAATAGCAGCCCCCCCAAATCAACTATTTAGAAATAAATCTATTAAAAATGAGCAATTGTGGGGCGCCTGGGTGGCGCAGTCGGTTAAGCGTCCGACTTCAGCCAGGTCACGATCTCGCGGTCCGTGAGTTCGAGCCCTGCGTCGGGCTCTGGGCTGATAGCTCAGAGCCTGGAGCCTGTTTCTGATTCTGTGTCTCCCTCTCTCTCTGCCCCTCCCCCGTTCATGCTCTGTCTCTCTCTGTCCCAAAAATAAATAAAAAACGTTGGAAAAAAAATTTAAAAAAAAATAAAAAAAAAAATAAAAAAAAAAAAATGAGCAATTGTGCCAAACCAAAAACTACATAACATTATTGTTGTGGAGGAAGGAAAATACCCAACTCCAAACCCCGTTAGCCATCCTGTTTCACCTAACTGGGAGAAACTGAGAAGAACTTGTGAAGTCCACAGCCCAGCAACACAGGCTGGCTGAAAAACTGAGACTTGAACATGAGACTAAAGAACACTTCCCCTTTGCCACACCTTACCACCACATCACTAAACATCTATTTACCTAAGTTCCTTTTACCCATACACCATGTCTGGCTTTCCACAAAACATCAGAAGGCCTACTAATGGCAAAAAGCACAGTATGAAGAGACAGAGCAAGCATCAGAACCAGACTTGATATGACAGACATGTTGGAATTATTAGACTGCAAAATTTAAAATACCTATGATTACCATATTAAAAACTATAAATGGAAAAAGCAGACAACATTCAAGAACAGATGGATAATTTAAGCAAAGAGATGGAAATTCAAAGAAAAAATTTAAAAATGCTAGAGATCAAAAACACTGTAACAGAAATGAAGAATGCCTTTGATGGGCTCATAAGTAGACTAAAAACACCAAAAAATTTCCTGCAACTAAACAGCTATTTTAGCAAGGTTGCAGGATTTAACATTAACACACAAAAGTTAATCATTTTCCTATATAACTGCATTGGACAAGTGAACTCTGAAATGAAAACCAATACCATTTACATTAGCATCCCCTCAAATAAAATACTTAGGTATAAATATAACAAAATATATATAAGATCTATGAGAGGTATTCTACACAATTCTGGTGAAAGAAATTAAAGTACTAAGTAAATGGAGAAATATTCCAGGTTTATAGAAAGGAAGACAATATTGCTAATATACCAGTTCTTCCTAAATTGGTCTATAGGCTCACAGCAATCCCAACCAAATTCTCAACTAGTTTTTGGATTTTGGCAAACTGATTCTAAAATTTATATGGAGAGGCAAAAGATTCAACAGAGTCAATATAGCACTAAAGAAGAATAACAAAGTCAGAGAACTGAAATTACCCAATCTCAAGATCCTTTATTACACTAAAATAATCAAGACAGTGTGGTATTAACAAAAGAATAGACAAATACATCACTGGAACAGAATAGAGAGCCCATAAATAGGCAAATATAAATATAGTCAACTTAACTTCAACAAAATTTATACAACAGAGAAAAGATAATTTTTTCAACAAATGGTGCTGAAACAACTGAAAATCCCATGTCCCCCCAAAAATCTAGACACAGATCTTAACAGTTCTCACAAATATTAACTCAAAATGTATCATAGACCTAAATGTAAAATGCAAAACTATAAATCTCCTAGAAGATAACATAGGAGAAAATCTAGATGACCTTGGGTATGGTGGTGACATTGTAGATTCAATACCAAAAGCTTGATCCATGGAAGAAATAATTGATAAGTTGAATTTCATTAAAATAAAAAACTTGTACTGTAAGAAGGACGCTGTGAAAAGATGAGAAGACAAGGCCCAGAATGGGAGAAAATATTTACAAAAACGTACCTGAAAAAGGACTGTTATGCAAAATATACAGAGACCTCTTAAAATTCAACAATAAGAAAACAAACAACCTAATTAAAAAATAAACCAATAGACATCTCACCAAAGAAGATACAGAAATGGCAAACAAGCATACAAAAAGATGCTTAACATCATATTTTACTGGGGAATTGCAAATTAAAAAACACTGTAATACACTATAAATGCAATGGGGAAAAAAAAAAAAAAAAACAAGAACACCAAATTCTGATGAGGATGTAGAATAACAGGAACTCTTATTCATTGTTATGAGTGGAATGCAAAATGGTAGAGACACTTTGGAAGACAGTTTGGCAGTTTTTTACAAAACTAAACATACTCTTACCATATGATCCAGCAATCATGCTCTTTGATATTTACCCAAATTAGTTGAAAACTTACATCCACACAAAGCCTGCACATGAATGTTTATATCAGCTTTCTTTATAATCACCAAAAATTGGAAGCAATCAAGATATCCTTCAGTAGATGAATAGATAAATTAACTATGGTACAACCAAACAATGGAATGCTATTCAGCACTTAAAAAAAAAA